TTATAGATTTTGAGGTGCTCTTTCCGAATTTCGACTTTGCCACCTCGTATTTTTGCCGCTCGCGCCGCCGTATTGGAAAAATGGCGCCTTAAAGCAGTTTTTTGACAATATCTCGTTTCCAATTCATTTTACGATAACAACAGTTATATACAAAATGAAACAAGACACAATTGCCTACAATTAATGTACCTACCTTTTTTTAAAAGTCAATAGTTTATTTATAAGACGAATATTTGGACAATAAATCAACATGACCTTGTCTTTCAGTTGGTCTTTAAGGAAGGCGATACGCGTTATTGCATTTTGCAGACGATATTGCCAAATTAAGTTATTGAAAATTACACATCCACCATATTTGACCGTAACTGAATATCAGGACGCGCACATGTGTTGTATTCGACTTCACCAACGTTTTTGCTTTCGGGAAGAGATCGCAAGGCTTATTAAAAACTGCAACGTTAGTAGTAAAAGTAAATTATGGATTATTTTGAGAATACATACTTTGTGTTTTACACGATTGCAGAAATAAGAAGAATAACGTTTTGAGTGGAATACGTGATTGAAAGTTTAAATTTTAATAATCATGTGGCCAATCCTGTATGTGTTATTGAATAGTGTTTGTTCCGGTTTAGGTGGGACCATAAATCAATTTAAAGCGCCATCCCTCTGACGCACAATCGCGTATTGTCTAGCTAGTAAGCGAAAGCTTGCGTTGTAGTTTGTTTAAATTGAAAAATTCTAAAAACGTGCAAAGATGTCCCTGCGGTATTACTTTATCACGAACGAATTTTTGATATACATGTATTAAAGGTAACGTCTTCAATATGTTCAAGCATCATCGTTTACTCAAGTCATACCTACACCTGCATGTATTTTATTAGAATATGATTAATGAGTTTTTTATTATTATTATAAGTTAACGAAAGTAACTATGGGGTATTTTTGGTACAATATTTCTGAACTCGCAAATGTATTGGCATCATATTTTATCATCGAAAAGCGAACAAATCTTCTGACAATACATTAACCCCTTACCGCATACGAAGCCATTGGTGGCTCTAAAACTTTGGCAATTTTTTTTAGAATTCTATTTTATTTTTATTTCAAAACAATTGTTATAAATATCTTATAAATATTTTCGTGTAACGGAACGTATTTTTTATTAGTCTATGGCTGGTGACATTTGTCAAAATATTTGAAGTTATGTGCAGCGCGGCCCACCGTTCGGATGCAGAAATGTAATGTTAATTTTATTTGTGAAAAGAAAGTAATAAATCGGTAAGTTAAAAATCCTAGAATTTTATATTGTGATATATATATGTGCTATAACATGAAATAGGTGCTTTTTTGGTATTTTATTTTGTTTTACTTGACTTATGGATCCTTTTTTGAAATTGCCATTTTTGGCTTCGTATGCATTCACGTTTACATTTCTAACGCTCATATATGGCTTTGTGTGTGTTCATTTGCCTTTTTTCTTTCTTTGCAGCAATGAATCCTTCTCGCTTTTATGGTACTTCCAAGCATGTTAACCCTATTCCTGGCAATGGCTTTTTATGAGTGACGATGAGCTTTCATCTGACAATTTTGACCACTTTCCCGAATGGAAACAAAATCGACAATTATGTCAGGGATGTTCAAAATATCGATCATTCACTATGTGTGATTTGTGTTACAATGATAAACGTAACTGTTTTAAATATTTTCATAAGATATAAGTTTCTATAATGTCCCTAATGCATACGAAGCCATATATGGATATCTATTATTTCACTAGACTGCATACGAATCCATATATGGCTTTGTGGGCTAAATTCCAAAATAAGTAAAAATAATTTTTCTTATTATTATTAATTTCTTAATTAAGACTAATAAAAGATACAATCGCTAAAATTTTTGTTTTATTTCATCCGTTTTATAATTCATGCAATAAGGGGTTAAAAAAGAAATCCTGCAGACGACATCGTTTCGATATGGACGGCTTTTGTGTCCATACAGAAGCGGTGTCGGATTGTTGTCGAAATTATTTAAACCTTATATTTTTCAATCGAACTAAACCATACCGTGAGTACAAATTAATACAGCTCCATCTATGGGACAATGGAGTAAACATTTTATATAAGGTACCACATTGGACATAGGCTGTTTGTCCACCGCCGCAGTCACCGTCACGTCACCGAGAACGAGATTATTTCGGGCCGAGTTTAATATGACGTGACGGCGATCGTTTGTCCACTGCGACCGATGGTTTAGTTTGTTCCAACTGTCATGCGTGGTAAACTCGTTTTCGAAGAAATAAAGTGATGGCTAGGTTAAACCGGCGACAACTTCTTCTCCTGCTTTTGTACCTTCGAAGGCGCAGGCGATGCAAAGAATTTTGGGTTCATCCGCTAATACGTGAACGATACATCACAGGGGCGTTTTATGTACACCACGCCAAGTTGCGGCAGCACGACGAGAAGTTTTATTAATGAATAAATATCGTATTTAAATTTTATGGCCATTTTTATTACAATGATATATTATGACAATTGATGACAGACAACTGAACTGAGCTCGTGTACGGTGCGACGGCGACGGCAGTGTGTGGACAAGTTCATACGTGTTTTGTATTGCCGGCACATCGGCCCGTCAAAATCTTGGGCCACGTTCTAGCGGTCACGGCGATCTACTCGCAATTTCGCCGGCCGGGATGACAGCGCTCGGGTGACGGATGTGCGGTGGACACGCGGCTTACGTAAATGTATGTACCGCTACTTCGGCGCCGTCATTTCGTTCTCGGTGACGTGACGGTGACGGCGGCGGTGGACAAACAGCCATAGGGTCTGTCAAATCAAAATCAAAATTATTTTTTCAGTTTACGCTGTTACAACCACTCACGAATGTCTGTCTAGATTGGCTTCAGGTTCCTTTACAAGACTGAGACGTAGACCGAGTTTGACGCCGGGCTTAGCTCGGGCGAAAAACCATCTCGTCGGCATGAGCTCTTATCCCATTCCATACCCATTAGGAACAGACGGGCAGTATTAAGGAACGCACTTATTTAAGCTTGCTTTGATATTGATTACTACTTTGTGTAAATGCATGTTCAATAATTATTATATTTTGTAATTTGATGTCTGTGTTGATATAGACAATTATATATTAGTATTGTAATTTCCCAAAACCACTTAACAGACTAAAAAATTATTGATTCCATGTAATTTTTTTATATAAAATATATTTTAAGTTAAACTTCACATAAACGACAAAGCTGCAAGTGAATGCAAAAGATTTGTTGGTGAAATTAATAAATAAATGTAATACAATAATTTACAAATGGTTTCATTGCTAACACTTTTAAACATTTCGAGGAAAAAAAAAATTCAGTTTTGCTCCATATATTTTTTTCTTAAATATTTTTATTTCGCGAAAATATACGATTACATGAAAACTGCTAGAACAAAAGTTGATGAGCGTTCACTTATCTGTCCGCATGAATTTTTTCAGCGCGAAATATTAACCTTGGGTCCTAGGACCACTATATTCAAAACCCGGACCACTGTGCGTCGGATCACAAGCTGTATAAATCGGAGAGGCCTATATAATAGGTCCTATAGTGTACAACAGGCTGCCGGACACCATTAAAAAAGAAGCCACTTCCAGCGCTGTTTAAAGTTGGACTAAGAAAATCTGATCGGCGCGTAGGTAGATTTGCACTAGTATATATTGCATTTTACGGGTGATGTTTCGAGTCTTATAAAATATTTATTATTGAACTAATTATAAAAATATATACATATTTCAGTAGTTCAATGATGGCAGATTAGTTTTTGATAGTAATTCTATTTAATTCAATATCAAAATACGAGGTAAACCTGCATTATTTTTTGGGAAAACTCACGGAGGTTAGATATTTTTTTTTGATAATTAATGAGATGGATAATCAAAATTCTAATACGTTATGAAAAAATAACATGCCAAATAATGTCAAATATTACTAACTATCGGTATCTAGATTTTTTTTTGAGTGTTTATGCTGTTGGTCGCAGATGACCTTTACATCGTCACCGGGTTTGGAGACGGCGAGATCTCAAGCCGAGAACTGGCGAGTGCCTCTAGAGGTATTCCAGGCGGATGGCGTTTCCCCACGGGGGGAGTCTTCTCTCCGTCTGGAGCCTCTAGACCACTCGAACCTGAGAGGGTCGACTCAACTAGAGGGCGTCTCTGAGACTCGGACATCGGCTCTAGTAAGCTGTTATCGTGGGGGGGCGGGCGTATCTAGAGGACAAAGTTGCCCCCCTAATGTTATTCTGCCGCGCTCGAGTAAATCCAAAAATCTCCGCTTGGGCTGCTACCATAGTACGACTACTGTTAGGCTCGTTCGTTTCTTTTTATACCGACTATCGGAAATGGATTAGATATTTTTCTTTAGTCCCTGAGAGTGATAAATCATAAATTAAGTCACGTGAATGAGGGGCCTGGAATGAGCTGAATTCTACATATTTTTCACGCATGTGCGTCGATTTCCTTTCTTGGCGTACTTAGTTTTTTATTCAAGTAATTAATGCATTTGCTTATATTATTTCATGTCTAGTGTTGCGCATAGATTAACTATAATGCGTGATCAATGGACGCATTTAAAAATGCATAACGCCTTTTAAACGAATAGAGTGCCATTTTAGATGAAACTTGACCATAACATACTACTTGCCTTAAAAGCTGATAATATTCAGATATTTGTGACCAATAGAAAGTCCCCACAGAACACAGTAATAGGTTTCTGTGTTTAAATTTTTGCTTTCTTGAAGAATCCATTCCTTCTTCTCTGGCTAACAATTTTTACGCTTTCCGATCTCACCAAAAACCTCGTAGATATAACAAAAGTATAAGTTCTCACGATATTTTTTGCATTCTATAATAATATCGTGGAGTGAATTACCTATGTAATTTAATAGTAGGAAACCGTATAGTCCTTCCTAGTGAGTTGTTTGTTGATAATATTTTTTGCATTGTTTCAGGTTACGTGCGCGTGTCGTCAGATAAACGGTGCTGTGATAGGATTGCCAACGATCCAACACTGTGGAATGGTTCCGGTGTGCGGACGCTGTCTTGTACATGTAAGTGTTTATATCACTAGAAACAACGGTAAAACTGTACTTATTGGGCCCCGGAGTTCATCATTTTTAAAGCAACTTATACAATAACGGTTAGATAGCAGCAGTGACAACTTTAAAATAGCAGGCACTGCAAAATTTCTTGCAAGTCCTAGTGACGTAATCCGTTTTCTATCACGAAACTGAAAATCATTGAAAACATCAAAAATAAAATCAAACTCACTTCATGACTTTTTAATTTACTTAGTTTTCTATTAGCCGTAGCACATCGATCTGCAATATATGATTCAACTATAAATAAAACTACCTATAACAATTCAGCACAGACAAACTAGTTTCCGCATTAAATGAATCATAAATCATTTCAATCATGTAAATTAGTCAAGGATTGAACGTTTGTATTAGTTGGTTCAATTACTGTGAAATCTACTGTGGAGTATATTGTTGAATTTGGCGATGAGCGGTAGTTGGTGTATTTTAATCACAATTTAGCCACAAACACTCACCATCCTGTTCTGAATCATTACTCTGATTATTTACGTATTTATTAATTAGTCCAGTTGCTCTTTTAGAAGTTGGTACAATGATATTAAAAACCGTATTGTTGGCTTGGTTGGTACAATAAAGTATTCAGATATGAGTTGTTTTCGTTTAATTTGTTAATCTATTTCTTTCTTTTAAACATTTGGAAGTTTTAGAAAAGTTTATGTATTTTGGATAAATCTAAGAACCCATAGCTATACTAAAAATAGATGATTCCTGAGTCACTAAACCGATATGAGTTAAATAATAAAAGAATACTTACCGTCTTAGTCTTAGTAAAAGCAACAGTTTTTTTTTCTGTTTTCTCACAAGCAAATAGGTCTGTATTATGGAGAGTAGTATAATTTTTCAAGCTGTCTAATGCTCCTCCTAATGCGATTGCCTACACCCACTCAAGCGATTAAAGTTTTCAGGGCGCGTGCTTAAAGTGAAACGTGATGGATTTCGAAAATACTATCTATCTTGCCTATTAAACTTCTTTGCAAGTTTCCCTGTTCGAAAACGGGTTAGTAATTTTAATTAATTTCCAACTAGTGGCCGCCTGAGACTTTGTCCGCGTTAACTTTAGTTTTTTAAGAATTCCACAGAATTCAAAATTGTTTCCGGGATAGTATCCTATGTCTCAATCCAGGTCGTAAACTGATATGCATAGCAAATTTGATCAAAATCCGTTCAGTAGTTTTTGCGTGATTGAGTAACGAACATACAAACAGTCAAAAATATAAACTTTCACATTCATAATATTAGTAGAAAGAAAGAAAAACATTATATTGGCCTTCACAGCTTTAATTTAGAAGAAGAAAATGGTTATGTAATAGTAAAACATAGACATAATAAAAAAAACATGGGAACTAGTTACTAGGATCGTGCCGTGTAAGGCCAATAGGCCAATAGGACGCTGCCTATGCTCTGTGGTAAAAACTTTCGCGATACCACGCTGATTTTCAGCCAGTGCCTTATGGCAAAGGAGGATACTAACTGGTTCTATACTTACTTAAAAGAACCTCGATATTTATGCGCCTGCAAGTATAGTACAATATTATTATTTATACGAGACGCGTTACTTCATAATAGTGAGTTCAGGATAAAATACCGCATTTAATTGCGTGATTAACTATTGCAAAATGCTGCTTACTTTGACGTAAACCAGTGGAAGCACGCAACTGCTCCGGAGGGTCTACCATATAACTGTAGTCTGTATTGACTTTGAACTTAAAGTACATTCGACATTTGAAATACATTTCTAGTATTATCTTTGGTTTTGGTTGTTAGTTGTCGGCCACGAAAATCCTAAAAATAGTTTGTAATGTAAAAATTGACAAAGTTCATATCAGTGTACTGACGTGGTTCATGTCTTATATTTTTTTGTATTATTAATAAGGTTTTGCATACCGTTGCATTTTGCATTTTACCTAATGGATCTAAGCAAGTGATAAAAAAAAACGCAGGATGTCGCTAAGTGTCCTTTATTCATGAAGTTTCACAAAAACCATTTCATCACATGAGACCCTAGTTAGAGACAATTTAAATCTTTGATCTAGTTAGATGATGTATTAATCAATTTTTAAACAAATCTTTAATTTTCTGCGCGTCGGAATTCTCGTCAAATGTTCGCAAGACCGAATGACAAGTTCCAACTTTGCAATGCCAGTTATGAAACCATGGTATAAACCAATTAGTATTCACCGCCCGACAGCCGACAGTTGTTGAGCCATGTTGGTGTTACCTTAATACCAGCTTACAACTGGATTGTATCGCTGTTTGTCCTTAGAAACCTGCTTAATGAAAAATTGATTTGGTATAATTATGTTGCGATTTGCGGTATTTAAGGACAAGATAATTTCTTGGTCTTAGCGAGAGTATACTTTGTCATTGTAATTTGTAAAGAGACTTTGCGATTATATCTTATTATCAATTTACAAACGTAACTTAACTTTTGAAATCAACATTAGAAAATTCACTGAAGCTAGGATAACAATAAATACTTAGAAAATTTACTGAAACCTTCTTTGATATTCCTTGAAGTGTTAAGATGGTTTGCAATCAAAAGGCCAACATTTAAAAGAAAAGTGTTGCTAACAGAAGCAGCAATATAACCAGTTCCAAGTATCTAACTAAATAATTACAGTAACTCTTGGGTTTTGATTTGAATGATTAAATTCAAATATTTACTTGCGTAACTTAATTAACGTCTGCCGTCTTTCGCTATCGTCAATGGGATGAATGCCTCAGGCGTACAATGGACGATGATTTTAAGCGACAAAGGCGCCGGCTACCCTTCCCGGATATTGACGTTAGGTATTTGTCCTTATAATGCAGAGTCGAAACCATTTTGTATTCATGTCGTTGTCCGACTAACCGTTGTTTCTCATTTCACCTGTACAAGTTGTGAGTTTTATTGTAGCTCTTCATTGGTTTTGGTCACCATTACCAATTTCGTTCGTGTGTATCTTTTTGATGAATATTGTCGTCTGGTTTTTTGTTAGTGTTATGAAATTTCGTTTTCGCAACAAGTATGTGTAGATGCTTTCTATTTTTCCCCGTAAGATCAGTATTTGATAAGGATTTTAATGTTACCTTGATTTTTTAGAAACTAATAATTTTATTTCATCTTTTCGCTAATTTTATTTCATCTCATCGCTCCTTTGGACAGTTTACCATCTCAGAGCATTTACAGGCTTTAAGTTTACCATGTTTGCTTCTTTGTCAGTATTGTCATACTATCAGTATGAATAAAACCTTAAATATTGCATAGAGTTGCCTCTTCAGGAACTGTCATGGTGGCTGAAATCTATACAACGTTGAGGTGTCGTATGTTAACTGCATTTACTTCAACAACTTCGTGTTTCTCACTCTTATACATAACATAACATATACAATGTTACGCTCAAAGATCGAAAACGGTCAGTGAGCGGAAAAATAGCTCACAACGCGTTGTGGTCACAGTAAAACATCCACATGGCGAAATTCGTGTTATGGCTCTAATGAAAATGTTCACGACGCGTTGTGGCAATCACAGAAAGACCAAATAGCGAAATTCGTGTCGTGGCTGACATGCTATTCAATCACAACGCGTTGTGGCAATGAAGAAAAGCCATGACGCGTATGGAATATTATTTGATTATGACGCACACTACTTTCCGATATGGATCCTACTAGGCCTAGGCTGGAAACGTTTTGGTAGATGTCTTTAGGAAATATTTTTTTATTTTATAAAATCACTGCATAACGTGTTTGTCATTATTAAATTTGTTATATAATTATATAAATTAAAATAAAACGATATTTGTTATTTATTGAGATTACTTTATATTTAAAAAAATCAACGTATTAAGTAATAAATTACTAGACACAAAATATTAATCATTTGTAAATTACTTATAATACACTTAAAATAATTAGGGATTTTAATTGTTTTATGACAATTTAAAATTCTTTCAAGTAATAAAAATATTTAACACAAACATAAATGTTTATAGATCACCAATAAACAACAACAATGTACTTAAATCAATTACTTATATTAGAAATTACTACTATAATATATATATAATTGTGAAAAATAAGTATTTGATTGCTATTTATTTTTACAGGAACTATTACTGTGGCATTTTGAGTTGCGTTTTATATTCTTGGAGCGACATTTGCACCTTTTATCAATACAGTATCTTTTGCAGTGGCACATTATAAACCTTTGCTTACTTCCAGATGATAGATAACATAGATGCTGAGCGTGATAATGACGAAGTTAAGGGCACATCACAAATGTTAATAAAGTTGGTTTCAGAAAGTGTAAACTCATTACGTGCATAAAGTCTATCGAATGTACTTTCCTTGATTCCTAACTGGTAGAGACCTGATGGATGAATGCTCATAACAACACACATAACATTCCTGGGTGCTGCACGTCCTCTATCAACTTATAACCTGTCCATCGTGACATGGTTAAAACAATGAATGCTCAGAACGCGTCATGGCTTTTCTTCATTGTCACAACGCGTTGAGATAGAATATCATGTCAGTCACGATACGAATAAGAGAGAGATTTTTTTTATTATTATTAATAAACATGTCTCTTACTAACCGGCGATCGCTTCCCGTTTTGATGGCACAGAGCCATCACTGTGTCGACAAAAGAGAACGTCTTTTAGTCAACACGATAAGGTCGATCTCATGTTTAACTTCACTATCCAGACGCATCCAGATTAAACAAATAGAGTTGGCACTTTCTATTAAAAAATTAAAAATGCTAAGGAAGTCGGGATGCTAGATATATGATTTTTTTTACTCATTGGTGATTGTTTAATTTCCGTTTTGCTCATTCAATTGTAGGATTGATGTTTTCAATTTCATTTTTGTATGGTAAACGATTTTGAACTATTGGGGCGCGTAAATACAAAATTGGAATTAATTAATATTAATTATTAATGTCATCTACGTTTTGTTTACATCAGCTGAAT